CCCCAAAACCCCAAAACCCCAAAACCCCAAAACCCCAAATTTTGTATTAGTTATTGAAAATCAAATTGCTTTTACGCTTTTCGTACCTGGCTTTTCTCTCTTCTTGCTTCTCATACTTGGCAACCTCACTTTCAGGGATATGCTGCACTGCTGGGTTCCATTGGGCTGTCTTCGTTTCATTTGAACGACCTTGAGAGCCATTTTCTACTACTAGAGGAGCATCACAAAGCCTAATTTTAGAACCTTCCATTGAGTCATCTTCTTCGTTATAGAGCAAATTTCTAACATAGTGGCTTCTTTTGTCTGTGTGCAAGACCTTCTGATGTTCGAATATTTGTTGTCTTATAGAGTGAGCAGCTGGAAGAATATACTCAGGACTGAGTCCCATATCTGTGCATATCACCTCTGCAAAGTCTTCAGGACTATTGTCAGGATTATTGATATCCCATTCAAACTGATCTGTGATTATTTTATTCCCAATTCTGAAATTTAGTTTAATCTTTCTTAAGAATTCTCCTTCTATAGGCTTATAGACTTTGTAAGAGTTTATTTGTCTCTTAAGAGAACTAATCATCTGATCCTCCTGTTGTTGGCTGATGGAATTATCCTCATTAATAGTCTTTACAAAGCTTTCTTGTGTGATGAATGGTTCATTTTTGTCAACCATAAAGAGCTCCTTTCTCTTTCCTTCAGCTTCAAAATCTAGTTTGATGGGAACAAGGGTGCCAAAGCCATTGTTATCATCAATTTCATCAAGAGATTTACGCTCACCGCTAAAGCCAATAACTTCTTCCTTATTTCTGATCATTTGCTGGAATCCCCAGGTATTCATGCGGCTTTGTTTCTGCATTCCATAGGAATCAAGGTAATTTTCAATTGTTTCCCCAACCTTCACCATATGGCCTTTAACTTTCCCTTGAAGCCAGAGAGAGAGGGTCGAGTGATGGATACCTAAATGATAATTAGTTATCCACAATAGCAGAGAATAGCAGAAGTTAGAGATTTAGCAAGAGAATAGTAGATATTGAAGCCAACTTACCTGTCTCCTTTGCAACATCAACCTGCTTTATGTTATTTTTCTGCATGTGGTCTATCAAGCGATCTTTGATTTCTCTTTCTCTTTCCAAGTCCTCCATAATTTTATAAATTAATATGAGATTCTAAGACTTTTTATTAAAAGGGGTTTTGGGGTTTTGGGGTTTTGGGGTTTTGGGG